CGCCTCTTTCCTAGTGGGGGCCCGCCTCAGCTCCTCTTTTCAATACTTCCACTTCTCTCCTAAGTGCCTCCAGCGCCTGTTCCTGTTGCTCGACTATGTGAAGTAGATGCTCCTTCATGAGGGTGACTCCCTCGGATTGGGTAGTCTCCTGCGCCCCGTCGTCGACCACCGCATGCGCCTCTCCTGACAACACAGGTGCCTCCCGGGACGCCTCGGCCCCCGCCGGTCCCCCTTCTCCTTCGCCTGCCCCTAGCGCCTCCATGACACCTTGCCTTCTCAGTACCTATGTGCCCCCTTCCTGGCGCGCCAATTGTTCGAGCCCGGTAACTAGGCGTCCCGAACCCACACGCTTGACCCTTCGTGCACGCTCGTACCTGCACGCTGCACGGCTAACCTGAGTCCCGAGGAGGACTCGTTAGCACTCCAACGCCCAAGTCAGCTACCTTTTTCTAGAGAGAGAAGTGAATAGTAATTTTAGAGAGAAGTGCCAACCTGAGTAAATGAGGTTCACCAACCGACTATTTATACCCGAAGCCTGGCCGACCAATATCCTTCTCTTCCGCCCCTTGCCAAACCCATAATTAATGCTCCGTACGGCCAAGCGCCCATGCGCCTCGACCATCTGACACCCTGTTCAGAAGGGTCAGGCGCATGACGTCAGCTAGTCCTCAAACCCGTACCCTGGGACTCCCCTGTGGCTACCTGTCGCACGCGCCTCGTGTCAGGGTTGCGGCCCCACCCGTCTGGGGAGGCTCTTCCCTGTCCATGAGCCAACTTTTCCCTTGTCCCTGAGCCCATTGGGCCGGGCCCAATCCCTCAGCCTTCCAATCTCTACTCTTGGGCCATATTGGTCCAACCCACATGGGCCATGTATACATCCCCAACATTAAGGAACACAAATTCGAAGCAACAACAGATATGAATAGAATGAAATTGGTTTTTATGTCCAATTAATGTTGGATTTTTTCGGTTTTGTTTATATTATTATTATTATGTTTATGTTAATTATGTTGGTGGACCTAATCCGTCGGCGTTGTCCTGTATATTGACTTCACTGTGTTGTTAGGGTAGCTGTCGTGGTTGGCCGCTACTGGTGCTCAAGTGGTCATGTGATAATAAATTGATATATAGGTGTGGAAGCTGAAAAGAGATGAAGCATAAATAATGTGGCCTAGAAATTCTTGTTTGGCCATGGAATAACGTGATACTGTACGCAGATACAAGAAATTAGCGTTCCTACTCCTAGTTAATAGTAGGATCGGAGTCTTGTCAATAAAAAATTGAAAGTACAATTATGAATGACTTAATTAACACTAGTGGCCTAGGGATGGGACACCTAGGAATTTTCATCCCAGCCCATGACATATGGCATTCAATACTAGACTTTTTTTATGACAAAAATTTTAATTCATGTCTCATTCATCAATAACATAGCTAGTTGCGTATAATAAAGCAAAATTATTGTTACTGTATCAAAGCATGGTTAAAAAATAAAAACCTTGTTTTGAACAACCATGACAGACCAAGAAGAAAACAACATCAACATTGTAGATTGGTGGCTCGGTTCGGACCACCTGCTCTTGGACCCGTCCTCTTTTCCTCGGCTCCCTGCTTTTCAGTGTGATGGAAGTATTTGAGCTATCACCAGGAGACGGCTAATGGTATTGTTGTTTTCACTTGTCATGGACTTCTGAATGATACTCTTGCTTTGATTGCAGGGATGGAAACACCTAAGGCTGATCTTGGCGAGGATCGAACATTTTGGAGCTCGGAGTAAGATGGACGATTTCGGCTCAAATCTGCTTACAAATTGGTGGCTGATGAACTAGACGAAGAACAACCACCTCACTGGAAGGAGCTCTGGAAGTGGGGAGGGCCGAGCAAGATAAAACACTTCTTGTGGCTCGCCTCCCATGATCGCCTGCTGACCAACATGGATAGATCGAAGAGGAATCTCTCCAACGACAGCTCCTGCCCCGCTACAAATGTAACACTCCGGGACCTTGGGGTTAGGGTTCGACTATAATACGTGAACAATTGAGTTAACAATTACGTACGAAGGATTGCAACCGCGAATTATGAATAATAATAATATTATTATTATTTGAACAAAAAAATATAATAAACCTAATCACTCCATCCCACCATCGGCACCATTTAGAGGAGCCAAAGGGCATAAACCCCATTTTTTCCCCCTCGGTTGCCACATGCACAAACTACCGCCGCCATCATTCATCTTTAGCTCCATCTCACAGCGTCCTTCCAGGCGGTGCTGATTGCGAGAAGGGCGGAGCTGGGGTAGGCGGAGATCAAGGCACGCGGTTCTTTTATGTGAATTATCCTTGTGCTCCCCTGGTGATGACGACGATGATGAAGGGAATGGCGAATTGGTGTTAAAAATTGGTTGGATTTGAAGGATGAGGTGGGAGCTTGCGGTGAGTTGCTGATTAAAGAAAATGGCTAGTAATAATCGCAGGGTTAGTTGTGAACATAACAATCGATATGGGATTAGTGATCGGGCAAGTAACCAACCAACCGTCGTGTCGTATCAACGAAGATGGATCAACACCGGTACAGGAGGTTTATGAGCTGCTAGCGAATTGTGGAGGGAGCAGTAGCGGTTGCTTATCGATGCAATGGGAAAAGGGAGAGATTAAATTTACGAGATGGATGATAGCAATAGAATTTTGAAGGATGGACTGAAATATCAGACCACTAATGGGAGGAAACATGGTTTCCCGTCGGATCAATCTAAGTCGTTTCATCAACGAGGTGATTGTAAAGGGGGTAAAATCTCCGCCGAGATCTTTTAGTTTATGTTTTTCATTTCAAGCTATGTTCGTTAATTTACGAGTTATACGCAATTATGTGTGTGAGGCATCCCACCGCCTACTTAAGATGGAGGCACGCGTTGTGCTATTTATGAATATATGGATGTATGATTGTAATAATTGGCTAATGGTAAGATGAACTCCCGAGCGGTTGGGCCACTACTAGACGCGGTAGATGGTCGGACCTCTGTTGGACGGCGAGATGTAATGCAACAGTTGATCGTATTTGGTTGAGTCAAATCGATCAATAATTGTGGACTTTTCAGAGAGTGGTTGAAATTCAAAATTCAGTTTTCAAGGTTCTTTCGTGACAGACAAGTTTTTGCGTTTAATTATTGTTGGTCGAAGGAAGAGAAAGCGGGACAGATGGAGGATGAGATTGTGGCTATTAATTATTGGGAGTTGCAGATGGATAAGATAAGCTATAAAAGAGATTAAATTTAATTTGATAATACGTATATACTATATATTATTACGACATGTCTGATGTGAAAAATAAAAGGGATAGATTTGAGAAAAATGGATAATAGAGTGACAATTTATGCTATTAACTCCACATGAAAAGTCAAAGATTGTATTGATAGAGTAGAATTTAAGGTTTTATAATGTTAAATTTTCATAACTTTTGTACGTGTATTAGTATTTAACACTTAACAGCCTCGACTTATTAGTAAATCAAGCCTATACACTAAATTCTAATAATTTATACAATAAGCATTATGTTTTCGTGTTCTTCCATATTTGAGATTTCTATGCATAATCTTTTCGTTATTCTCTTGATTTTTTTATATACCTTCATTTCCTACCATTCTAGATGACATATATTTTGTTTCAACTCCAACTTCATATCCGATAATAAAAAGTCCAAAAATTTCTTCTAAGATATGAAAAAATACACAACAATTAATTAGGAGGACTTGATAAAAAAGTACATATTAACTCATTATTGGTAATGTCATAATCAGCAAATACCATAAAGATTACTATGAAATAATGAATTAACTATTTTAGAAACCTCAACTTATTTAAAAACAACCAACGATTCGGGTTAATATTCAAGTAAAAGCTAGTGTGAAAGGTATAGTAGATTAAGAGGAGTAAATGTAATTAAGGCGTTGTTGGATTGAAAATTTCAAGTATCTACACTTAATTCCCCCTTTCTTTATTTCCACGGTGGGTCTCTGGGGGGGGGGGGGGGGAATCACAACTACATGCCATCCAGATCAGTCCAAATAATTTTTTTTATAGAGATTTGTCCAAATAATTGAAAAACAATACAATCACTAATTCCTGCAGCGAGACTTACGACATTATAGGCGGTGACAATTTAGTTCCGAGTTATTGTTAGTGAGAGGTATATGATTCAAGATTGAAACTCTCTCAATAACTCGAATTATCGGGAACAACTAGTTCTTGACATGGTATCAGAGCCTGTTGTGGTCGGAGGTCTTGTGTTTAAATCCCGGTGACCTCATTTGTGAAGCACATGTATTCTCGTGTTCAGTACAAACGAAAGCTATTATGAGTTGACTGGCTTCCGTTTGAGGGGATGTTAGTGAGGTCATCTAAATAGAAACAAATATATTATATGATGCACAATTTATCTCGAATATACAGTGTTATCAAGCAATAGTCTGGGCAGTTTGTTGGACCAGGTCCGATCAGAATCGGTCCTAAAAATTATCCACAAAAATTTAGTTTCCTCCAAATCGACAATCAATCAAAATCGGAGAAAACACTGCAAAAACTCAATGGTTTAACCGAATTGACTAGTTTCAGACTCTAAAGAGAGCATTATGCATTTTGGTCCTCTCCAGAACCTCTCATGGAAAGGATCATATACTATACTCATTATTATATTATTATATGATACCTATCAAATTGCATTAAGATCTTAAATTGCTACCATATGTACGCATATATTCTTATATTATGTATAAAATGGTTTAAACAAATAAAATTTTAATTTGCCCAATAAATCTCAAACCATTTGTTTCACCTAGTTAAACCGATTTGACAACCTTGAAATGGTCTTAAAAAACAAGAGAAACCGAAATAATAATGAAAAAGAAAACGGAGCATTCCCCTCTCTAACGAAGTCCAGCACGACGATCTTGTCGGCCCAATTAAATCAGATTCAGTTATCACTTATCACAATACCTAACATTGAATTCAAGATCATGAAATATGGGAAAGAGCGTGTCCGAATTTAATTAATCCGTCTTTTTCCAAGGCCGGCCACGTCTCCCCCCAAAATCTTCCATCTTCCCAACAGTACAATAAGAACTTCGGCCCCCAACTTTTAATGCTTCTTGGAGACTTTTTTGCTCCAACTCAAATCTTCCCTCCTCTAAATCCCCTGTTTTTCCAAACCCACCTCAACTGCCACCGAATCCTGTAAAATTCCCAAAACTCTTCTTCCATTCTCTGTGTTTCCTTACAGCTATGGCTCCTTCAACTCCTTCCCCTCGTCTTGCGACTCTTCTTCTTCTCGCTATTGTTCTCCTGCAAACACAGCTGACCGCCGGCGACTTGCTGTCCTCAATTTTCGCTCCGATCATGGGTTGGTCGCCCCCTCCCACCGTCTTCTCAATCAGTTCCCGCAATTTCCGCATCTTTCCTATTACTGCTGGACTGGGTTTTTCTCCTCTGACAAAAAGATTCGAGATTTACTGGGTTTTTTTTTCCTTCATCTTCGTAGGCAACATATGTGAGAACGTGGAATGTGGGAGAGGCAAGTGTAAGCCGCTGACCAATTCCACCATCCCTCCGTACGAATGCGAATGCGACGCCGGGTGGAAGCAGACCCGACCCGACGCCATGGACAACATCACCTTCCTCAATTTCCTCCCATGCATTGTCCCCAACTGTCAGTTCCTTTTCTTTCTGAATCAATGTTGTCAATTAGGGGGAAATAGTAACTCAATTGGGTTTTGGTTGATTGCTTTTAAAACGCAGGTTCCATGGATTTTTCGTGCAATAAACCAGCAGAGGCGCCGGTTCAAGACAAGTCCGGAAAGTCCAATACCACACTTGTCGACCGTAAGAACTGCAAACCCTTATTTCTGTGGAACTAGAGAGCTTTTTACATATTCATACTCTGGGCTTAGTTTGAGGAGTTTTCTTTTCTTTTCTTTTTTGGGTTTGTGGCAGCATGTAACTGGGCAGATTGTGGAGGGGGATCCTGCAACAAGACATCATTGTTCACCTATAGTTGCGTATGTTCAGAGGGATACAATAACCTTCTCAACACTTCACTCTTCCCTTGCTACAAAGAATGTAACTGTTCTTTTTCTTGAATCAACAAACTTGCGTTATGTTGGTCTGGATTGATATCCGATTCGATACGATTTTGGATAAAAAAAAAATTTGCAGGTGCGGTGGGGATGGATTGCAAGGATCTAGGGATCACGGTTCAAGGCCCTCCATCTCCAACGCCTGTGCTGTCCCAGAACGATGGCGCGAAGAATCAAGGTAAAACGAAGATACCCAAATTTCGTTACTATTTCTAAGTTTTGTCTAGGAATTGCAGCATGTTGCTTATGATGTTGAATTTTGGCAATGGTTATGTTATAGCAGGCAGTACAGCTAGAAGAGGGTTCTTATTGATGGTGTCGTTAGTGGTGACAACTATGGCTCAGTGGTGATAGAAAGAGAGAGATGGAGGTGGTGGTTGCGAGCAATGAGCATTAGGAAGGTAGAGAATGATGTATGTACTGATATGGATGGACTCTCCGTTAGGGATTCTTGTGAGGTTTGGGCATGGCTGATGTCTATAATACGTACGCTGTTTTGTTTGATCCATTTTGTAGCATAGGAAAGAATAAGACTCATGGTTCATGTTATAGCTAGAGATTGGATAACGCCATTGCCAGGGCTCGTTAATAATGATTGATAGTAATAGGGACTTGAGTTGGAACTGAAAGTGCTTTTAGTTTCAGCTATTGGTTGTATATCCAAATTCTCATGATGGCAATTTCGACCTGACCCATTTTATCCGATCAGTTTGGCCTGTTTTGGGACGGGCATGGGTACCTCTCGTTGACCCGACCTGCCCTGACCCGCCCCATTTTCGACCTGTTGCCTAAATTACATATAATCTTAGTCAAATTACTTAGAATTTTCCTCATATTACCTCATATTTTAGCTATGGTAAAGTTGTAAATAAGTGAAAACCTCAATTTCTCCAATACTTTAACTACATTTTATCATATTATGGTTTATTTCTTGGTCTTTTAATGAAAATAATGAATATTTTTAAAGTTTTTCACATAAATTACATACCCATTGAATCGACCTGCCCCGCATCCATGATAAATTACCCGACCTGCCACGGGGCGGGTATAGGTATCGAGATACCCGACACGATCTGCCCATTGCCATTCCTAGTCAACAACACATACAATTGAATCAAAATCCATCCGGTTTATGCAATCAAGCAGCCAAATTGTTAGATGCTGGGACGCATCCCGGACCCGGACAAGCCTTCTATGGAGGTGGACGAAGACTGGGTGCTTAGTTGTCGTCGTCATTGAGCTTCACCCAACCTTATGGCGTCGTCGAGGCAGGGGGCTGGTTAATTAGGCAAGGTGGAAGGAAAGGAAGATTAAAGAGTTGGAAATCCCTTGTTCAAAGTCAGTAGCCCAGACAACGTGTAGGCTGCAAACATTGGGAAAAAATCCAAAAGTATCACTGTTTAAAAAAAAAATTTCAAAAATACCACCTTTTTCAAAAACCGTCACCCCACCCAGCGGTTTTGGTCCAAATTTTTTTTTTTTTATAACCGCCACCCCGACCAGCGGTTTGGTCCAAAAGTTCGGTCGAAACTTCAAACGAACGTAACTTTGCACTCGGGTATCCGATCGTAGCGATTTTTTTTTTCATTTCGCATAACTTTTCAAAAAGTTATTCGGATTCAAAAAATGGAGGCCGCAAACTTTTTGAGATCTTGCAAGCCGCAAACCGCCGGGTCTCGCCTTTCGTCAAACTTTGGGCAGCCATAACTTTGTGCTCCAAACTCCGAATGTTATGAACTTTTTTTTGATTCCGCATAACTTTTCAAGATCTACAACTTTTAATATAATCATAATTTCAAAATGTACATGGATTTCTGAAAAGTAAAAGTAAAGTTATTCTCAAGGTCCCGTATATCCACAAATAGTTCTTGTTTTGAAAATTTCATCCTAGTAAAGGTTGTATATCTTGAAAAGTTATGCGAAATAAAAAAAATCGCTACGATTGGATACTCGAGTGCAAAGTTACGTTCGTTTGAAGTTTCGACCGAACTTTTGGACCAAACCGCTGGTTGGGGTGGCGGTTTTGGGCCAAACCGCCACCCCACCCAGCGGTTTGGTCCAATTTTTTTTTTTTGTTATAACCGCCCCCTAGGCCCGCGGTTTGATCCAAAACCGCGCCCCCGACAAGCGGTTTTCGACCAAACCGCTGGGTGGGGTGGCGGTTTTTGAAAAAGGGTGGTATTTTTGGAATTTTTTTTTTAAACATTGGTACTTTTGGATTTTTTCCCAAACATTGAACCCCAGAATGTTAAATTCAAATTACTAGGTGATGCGGATGAAGCCCGTTGAAGGGTTGTGATGCTGTGAAGCCAATATGATGAACAATTGAACATTTTAGTCAAATTTGCCATACAGTGGCCAGAAAGACAAACCCACTAATACTGGGGAAAAATCTCAAAATATAGATGCTTTAAAAAAAATTCCCAAAATACACACTTTATAAAAAAATTTCTCAAAATACACATGTTTGGACATCACTGCGGCTATCAACCGCAGTGAATGCATTCACCGCGGCAGACGAAAGCGGTGAATGCATCACCGCGGTTGACGGCCACGGTGAATGCCTGACCTAACACCGAAACTTCAAATGGACGTAATTTTGTGCATCCGATTGTAGCGATTTTTTTTTATTCCTCATAACTTTTCAAGATTCAATTGTCACCCCGAAAGAGCAATTTTTCGATTTTTCCAAACTTTGGAAGGCCATAACTTTTAGATCCTCAATCCGAACGTAAGTTTATTTTACTGCGCATAAATTTTTAAGAACTACAACTTTTACTAGGAAAGAATTTTTTAAAAAAAAAGAAATATTTTTATGCAATTTTGGGAATAACGTTGCCTTTACTTTTCAAAAATCCACATACATTCCAAAATTATGGTTATAATCAAAGTTGTAGTCCTTCAAAAGTTATGCGAAATTAAAAAAAGTTCCATGATATTCGGATTGCAGAGCACAAAGTTATGGTCTTCCAAAGTTTGTCAAAATCGAAAAATTGCTCTTTCGGGGTAGCAAAAGAATTTTATATGGGATGAAGGTTTGTTGTAGATTGAAAGATCTTGAAAATTTATGTGGAATAAAAAAAAATTCGCTAAAATCGGATAACCGAGCGCAAAGTTACGTTTGTTTGAAATTTCAATGTTACGTCAGGCATTAACCGCGACCGTCAACCGCGGCGATGCATTCACCGCTTTCGTCGGTCGTGGTGAATGCATTCACTGCGGTTGACGACTGCAGTGATGCCCAAACATGTGTATTTTTGGAATTTTTTTATAACGTGTGTATTTTGAGAAATTTTTTTAAAAACATGTGTATTTTGGAATTTTTTCCAGTACTGGGTTTTGTTTTGATTTGGAGTAGAGTCCAAACTCCAAAAGCACGGGGTAATTCATAAGATAAAAGCAGACAGGCCCAAAGGACAGAAGCCCAATGCTGAAGGCTTTACTCATTTCGAAATCACGGCCTGACGGGTACGACGACGCATCAAAGCTCTTGTTGCCGGACTGAAGATCTTGTCACAATAGAATCTGGCTAGGGTGCTTGTTTTAGAAGGACATGCTTACAAGTTACAACTCTAACTAGATTAGGGTCTGACCCGTTGGCCGGATAAAAGCAAAAATTTAACAATTTTACTTATTGTATGCTATTAATACCGAAATATAGTTAGGGGGTTTTTGTTTTCTAATTAATTGATCTTGGGCATATATAATAAAATAATTTAATTAAAACATAAATTAGGAGTAAACGAGGGGCAATTAGGTCATTTCCTAACCCAGTTAACGGTCACTTACGGAAAAATAGATGAAATGGTAAATTTGTTACGATTTTGAATTAGAAAGGTATTTTGGTGCAAAAAATTAGTAGAGGGATACATTTGTTAATTTGTCAAAGTAGAGGGGTACAAAATGCTATTAACTCTATACTAAAAATAAAAGAATATGAATATTTTAATTTATCAATACACTTCTTGCTAATAGTTTTTATTATTATATTAACTTTCTATTTCTAATGTAATTAATACTATCATTATAATTTATTCATTTGAAATAATCACGTCAGTTTTATTCAAAACTATTAGTGAAAATTCACTAAATACCACGAAAATATAATATCTTTATTCAAAATAAACAAAGGCCGAATAGTATTTTGGGTAATGTGTATTTTTTATCAAAACCTTTTTCAGATTCTTTTACATTATCCAAACCTATCGAAATACTAAGAATTAGCCGAATGTTAACTTTCAGTTCGCAATTTTGTTAGTAATATTGACTTGGCAACATGATACTGACTTGGAAGAGACACGTGAAGGTCAACATTGCAAAATTTTAGTATTTTAACTTAGAAAATAGTTACAAAATTATTAACAATAACATAAAAATGGCTAATATTTTGATGCATTATGAAAGATTTGGATAATTAATAGAATTTTAATAGGTTTGGATAACATAAAAGAATATAAAAAATGATTGGATAAAAAATATACATTACCCTAGTATTTTTGTACACATATGTGATACATAGGCAACGGCTAGCGTATGTTCACACTTATTATTTGTACTTTGATAATTTTGATAAATCAGAACTGTTGATTTTTATTACAAGATTATATAAATCGTATGGTTTGGGTTAGAGATTGGGGGCCATGGGGTTTCAATAATTAGATGTTAGAATATCGTACAATTCCCCAAACTCCGGTTAATTATGATCTAAATAACAAAACTCGACATATATACGGTAAGGTAAGCATACACCCAGTATACGCGAGCCTGAACCGTGATATATATGATTCTCGGTTAATTTGATACATTACTATATTTTCTACAGGGGTAGCCAAGTAATGGTAAAAAGAAATCTAACTTCTTTTTTTTATGAAGGTGAAAGTGCATTAAAAGAAACCAAAAGGAAAAGAAAAATAGGGTCCGACGGATAGTAGGGGTTCACAAGAACTGAACCAGGCCACCACCCAGCCAAAACAGCAAACGAAAAGAAAACAACTACAAAACTACAACCAAAAAGCCAAAAAAAAACCCACAACTCAATGGACCGAACCACTTATATTATGAAAAAACAGGAGAAACAACATAGACAAGCAAGTCCAATCCTGCTAAATGGACCTAGCCATTCCTGCCTGGTGGGAAAGTCGAAAAAGAACAAACAAAGCCATATGAGTCCAACAATAGGCAGCAAGCAGCTCACACAGCTCACAAAGCGAAAACCACCCAACTGCAAATTGCTATAGGCAAACAAAACCATCAAAAGGAAACTCCCACCAAGGAGGCGAAGGAAACAGACGGTAAGGACCCGCACAAGCCAAACCCAATACAGACTGCACACCAGAAAACGCCAGCCATCAACAGAGAGCAGCCAAAACGACGATCAAATCCACAGAAGATAAGAACCAAACCAACAACCACACAGGAGCCATGCCCAAACCAGAGGCAGCCAGGGAGACCAACAATCCCACAAGCACACTAGAAAAGATGGGACCTTGTTTCAAGCCATTGAGACCCTTGATTCTTAGGGGTCGTTTGGTTTTGGTGATAGTTAAATCGATGTATTGTCATCAATGCATGCATAATAATATACATGTATATAAGAAAACTGTTGTATTGTAGTTTACATTGTTTGGTTTCTGTGATAGTTATTGTAGTATTTAAATAAATTATATCACTTTCTAGGTGAAATGTCACTTGTACCCTTTATTTTTAATATAAAAAGCAAACACACATAAAAGGTAGGGACATATTTGGAAGAAGAAGAAAACACAACAATCTCCATCAAACAATCTCAA